TACATAGCAAGAAAGCAAGTCACAATGCTCATGTATTTTTCAGGTCTCTCCCCCCATCATGGTTTCTAATGTCCCATTAGCCAAAGGGAGTCCCAAAGCCAGTATAGATTTAAGGATGCTAAAATAGACTTTTCTTTTGATGGAAGGGGTAGAATATCTGGCCATTTTTGTAATCTACTATATTGCTTATATCAAGGAAATAGAAGGCAAAGGGGAACCAAGATATATAAAATTTAGGGCACAGAGAGCTTGATGTCAAAGAAAGAGGTAATAATTATCTAAATGATATGCTCTGTTTCTCTACCAGGCCAAGTGTTCAATAGCCCATTTTTGAACACATGTTTTATAGTGTTTAACATTGCTCATCCTATTTGTCCTGTTTTGGAATGAATATACCTGTGGGAGGTAGTGACATACTCAAGTTTAATCAGTCACTGGGCTGGGCTGTCCTTCAGGGTAGGAATAGCAATGAAGACCACAGCAACAGCTCCTTTGGCAAATCAGTGGCAGTGGATAGAACTTGGAATAAGTCAAAGAAGGCAAAGAAAGGAGCTCCAAGCTTGGTTTTACCTCTGTCCCAATTTTGCTTGAAGCTGGATTATATCTGAGTATTCAGAGGATGAAGCCCTTTAGAAAGTCATTTGCAGAACTTACAGAATTTAGAAACCAGATGTCTCAGAAAGTAAAAGATGTTAGCAGTGTGCCATAGTACCTCCCTGACAACCTGATAAATGGTCTCCTTACTTGTCCTTCAGCTACCCCTGCTACTGACTGAGCAGTTGGAACCTCCAGCCTGGTGTGGATCCTGCCATAGATTCTGCCCCTAGACAAGTGTCTGACTTCCAGGGAGTCATTTGCAGGGAATGCAAGGACTTAGAGGAGTAGTGCTCAAACTTTAGCAAGCCTCAGATTCACCCGGGGAGTGTTCAATCACATGGTTGGGGCGCATCCAGGGTTTCTGATTCTGTAGATTGGGATTGGGCCTGAGAATTTGCCATTCTAACAAGTTCCCTGGAGAGCCACCGGTGCTGCTGATATTGTAGTCCAGGATCATTTTGAGAATCCCTGATTTAGAGGTTTGAGAACCTTATAATTCTATACAGGGTTCCTCTTCTTGCAGAGGTTCTCTAGCTTGGGTGTACCTAGAGGCCATTTTAAAAACATCTATGCCCAGGCTTCACCTGGAGCAATTTAATTAGTCTGAGAGGAGCCTGTGACTTACAGTTCCTAAAAGATCCCTGTGTGGTTCTAATGTACAACAAGGGCTGAGAATCACTGTCTTACTGTAGCAATTCTTGAAGAGTGGTTCTCAAGATGCAGCAGCAACATTATCACCTAAGAACTTGTTAGAAATCCAAATTCTCGGGGCCAGGGATTTAGCTCAGTGGTGCCACTGCCTGCCTAGCAAGCACAAGGTCCTAAGCTCAATCACTGGTAAGAAAGAGAGAGAGAGAGAGAGAGAGAGAGAGAGAGAGAGAGAGAGAGAGG